AACTGTCTGCCCTCCTGCAACGTTCCGCTCTATTTTTTTTTTGCGATTTTAGTTTCGGTTTCCTTTCTTAAAAAGTAGCCGCCCACTACGTTATTAAGGCAAGCTCTCAGATGCTAGAGCTTCAGTGCAAAGCAAGAGCATCCTGAGTTTGAGTAAAGTCGGCTTAAGATGGATCCAGGTTATATTATAACAAAACTGTAGAATTTTAAATGTTTGTTTCTCAAAAATTGACAAACACTTTACTTGTTTTTCTTTTCTTTTCCCTAGTCACGCTTATTGGAGCTGGTGTAGGAGTAGGTAAAAATGAAATACATTTCGGTCCGGTGTTATTTTGTCTAAATCAAGAATATAGATATAAAATGTTTTAGTTAAATATATAAATGATTTTAATGCTATTTAAATGTTCTGTATACAGTAATATGTGCCAGTGATCCACCTGAACTAACCTGCTTATATAAATATACTGTGATTCCACCAATAGTCGCAACAGTTGTTGCAGCTCCAGTTGTTCTTGGATTGGCTGGTTTCACCGCAGGTGGAGTTGCTGCAGGTTCTTTTGCCGCCTCTATGCCAGCTGCCGTGGTGGCAGCTCTACAAGCCTTCGGTGAGTCACATATCAGAAAAAACAACAACTCGTTAACCAGTTTAACAACAGTGAGTTATGCAGGGGGCAAATGCACAAACTCTTTCAACTGACAACTGAATGTATCTCATCAGGTGCTGCCTGAAAAGGAATCCCTTTGGCAGGTCAAGCCATGGTGGGGGCTGCCGGAGCAGCTGTGGGTGCCGCTGCAAGCATGGCTAGCAACTGTACTTTGTAACTAGTCAATCTATTGTATCAGTAATTAGTTCTATCTATCTATCTATCTATCTATCTATATGATCATTATCCCACTGCCTGTCTCATTGATCAGCATCATTTAGGATGTTGTGCTGTATCAGTATCTCTAGGTTTCTGCTATAAACTGCTGTTTATGGCAGTAACTATTAGCCTTCTCTGTCAATTATTTAGTTATCATAAACTAATTCACTGTTATATCTCAGAGTTACTCAAACTGTCAGTTTTGCTGAATAATGAAAAGGGTTTCTCACGTTTCCACACTAGGAACACTCTGGAACAATATAAGGCACTATTTTGAAGTTGCTTGTTCTCCGGGACCTTTAGTTTGTATTTGACTTTGATGGGGTTATTGGAAGAGCCATGTTTTTCGAGTTCTTGCAGGAACTTATATCCACGTTATAAGTTTCTCATAGAACTGACAGTCTAAGAGGTTCTCCAAATGGTTTCTTAAGCACCTTGTATGTGTTTGCAAATGTATTTACTTTTTTTAGGCCTAATAAACAATTGAAATAATTTATGTATTTTGTCTTTTGTTTTATCGCTGACTCAAAGACAAGATTACAAGGTTTTTCTACAATATGTCACCTCACAATTACACATCAAGAAATCATGTTAAATGGGGCTCAAACTAGGGCTGCACGATTATGACAAA